AATGCCCATCAAAAATATCAGCATTTTTGCCAAAATCCGTTTTTTCAAATTTCGGTTATAAAATAATCTGTTTTTTAGCCACAACTTCTAAAATAATTGTCTAAATATGGAATGTTATACCTCGTTGAGCTCGTAATTTAATTTCCAATCAAACTGCGTTCAAAAATGAAAAAAAAAAATTTTTGCAATTTTTTGCAAATTTTGATGATGGTACCCCTTACAAAAAATGCGAAAATTGGCCGAAAAATGAATTTTCCAAAATCTTTCAAAAAGTGATAGGGGTCGTTAGCACTGGTAATTAGCTGCTCAAAACAGTTATTCTTTTTTCTTTACGATCATTTTTAGCCAAGTTATGATTAAAATGACCATCAAAAATATCAGCATTTTTGCCAAAATCCGTTTTTTCAAATTTCGGTCATAAAATAATCTGTTTTTTAGCCACAACTTCAAAAATAATTGTCTAAATATGGAATTTTATACCTCGTTGAGCTCGTAATTAAATTTCCAATCGAACTGCGTTCAAAAATGAAAAAAAAAAATTTTTGCAATTTTTTGCAAATTTTGATGATGGTACCCCTTACAAAAAATGCGAAAATTGGCCGAAAAATGAATTTTCCAAAATCTTTCAAAAAGTGATAGGGGTCGTTAGCACTGGTAATTAGCTGCTCAAAACAGTTATTCTTTTTTCTTTACGATCATTTTTAGCCAAGTTATGATTAAAATGCCCATCAAAAATATCAGCATTTTTGCCAAAATCCGTTTTTTTCAAATTTCGGTCATAAAATAATCTGTTTTTTAGCCACAACTTCAAAAATAATTGTCTAAATATGGAATTTTATACCTCGTTGAGCTCGTAATTAAATTTCCAATCGAACTGCGTTCAAAAATGAAAAAAAAAATTTTTGCAATTTTTTGCAAATTTTGATGATGGTACCCCTTACAAAAAATGCGAAAATTGGCCGAAAAATGAATTTTCCAAAATCTTTCAAAAAGTGATAGGGGTCGTTAGCACTGGTAATTAGCTGCTCAAAACAGTTATTCTTTTTTCTTTACGATCATTTTTAGCCAAGTTATGATTAAAATGCCCATCAAAAATATCAGCATTTTTGCCAAAATCCGTTTTTTCAAATTTCGGTTATAAAATAATCTGTTTTTTAGCCACAACTTCTAAAATAATTGTCTAAATATGGAATGTTATACCTCGTTGAGCTCGTAATTTAATTTCCAATCAAACTGCGTTCAAAAATGAAAAAAAAAAATTTTTGCAATTTTTTGCAAATTTTGATGATGGTACCCCTTACAAAAAATGCGAAAATTGGCCGAAAAATGAATTTTCCAAAATCTTTCAAAAAGTGATAGGGGTCGTTAGCACTGGTAATTAGCTGCTCAAAACAGTTATTCTTTTTTCTTTACGATCATTTTTAGCCAAGTTATGATTAAAATGCCCATCAAAAATATCAGCATTTTTGCCAAAATCCGTTTTTTCAAATTTCGGTTATAAAATAATCTGTTTTTTAGCCACAACTTCTAAAATAATTGTCTAAATATGGAATGTTATACCTCGTTGAGCTCGTAATTTAATTTCCAATCAAACTGCGTTCAAAAATGAAAAAAAAAATTTTTTGCAATTTTTTGCAAATTTTGATGATGGTACCCCTTACAAAAAATGCGAAAATTGGCCGAAAAATGAATTTTCCAAAATCTTTCAAAAAGTGATAGGGGTCGTTAGCACTGGTAATTAGCTGCTCAAAACAGTTATTCTTTTTTCTTTACGATCATTTTTAGCCAAGTTATGATTAAAATGCCCATCAAAAATATCAGCATTTTTGCCAAAATCCGTTTTTTCAAATTTCGGTTATAAAATAATCTGTTTTTTAGCCACAACTTCTAAAATAATTGTCTAAATATGGAATGTTATACCTCGTTGAGCTCGTAATTAAATTTCCAATCGAACTGCGTTCAAAAATGAAAAAAAAAATTTTTTGCAATTTTTTGCAAATTTTGATGATGGTACCCCTTACAAAAAATGCGAAAATTGGCCGAAAAATGAATTTTCCAAAATCTTTCAAAAAGTGATAGGGGTCGTTAGCACTGGTAATTAGCTGCTCAAAACAGTTATTCTTTTTTCTTTACGATCATTTTTAGCCAAGTTATGATTAAAATGACCATCAAAAATATCAGCATTTTTGCCAAAATCCGTTTTTTCAAATTTCGGTCATAAAATAATCTGTTTTTTAGCCACAACTTCAAAAATAATTGTCTAAATATGGAATTTTATACCTCGTTGAGCTCGTAATTAAATTTCCAATCGAACTGCGTTCAAAAATGAAAAAAAAAAATTTTTGCAATTTTTTGCAAATTTTGATGATGGTACCCCTTACAAAAAATGCGAAAATTGGCCGAAAAATGAATTTTCCAAAATCTTTCAAAAAGTGATAGGGGTCGTTAGCACTGGTAATTAGCTGCTCAAAACAGTTATTCTTTTTTCTTTACGATCATTTTTAGCCAAGTTATGATTAAAATGCCCATCAAAAATATCAGCATTTTTGCCAAAATCCGTTTTTTCAAATTTCGGTTATAAAATAATCTGTTTTTTAGCCACAACTTCTAAAATAATTGTCTAAATATGGAATGTTATACCTCGTTGAGCTCGTAATTTAATTTCCAATCAAACTGCGTTCAAAAATGAAAAAAAAAATTTTTTGCAATTTTTTGCAAATTTTGATGATGGTACCCCTTACAAAAAATGCGAAAATTGGCCGAAAAATGAATTTTCCAAAATCTTTCAAAAAGTGATAGGGGTCGTTAGCACTGGTAATTAGCTGCTCAAAACAGTTATTCTTTTTTCTTTACGATCATTTTTAGCCAAGTTATGATTAAAATGACCATCAAAAATATCAGCATTTTTGCCAAAATCCGTTTTTTCAAATTTCGGTCATAAAATAATCTGTTTTTTAGCCACAACTTCAAAAATAATTGTCTAAATATGGAATTTTATACCTCGTTGAGCTCGTAATTAAATTTCCAATCGAACTGCGTTCAAAAATGAAAAAAAAAATTTTTTGCAATTTTTTTCAAATTTTGATGATGGTACCCCTTACAAAAAATGCAAAAATTGGCCGAAAAATGAATTTTCCAAAATCTTTCAAAAAGTGATAGGGGTCGTTAGCACTGGTAATTAGCTGCTCAAAACAGTTATTCTTTTTTCTTTACGATCATTTTTTAGACAAAAATGGAAACGCTAATTTTTTGACATTTTTTGCAAATTTTGATGATGTTACCCCTTACCGAAAATGCGAAAATTGGCCCAAAAATGAATTTTCCAAAATCAGTCAAAAATTGATAGGGGTCGTTAGCATTGGTAATTAGCTGCTCAAAACAGTTATTCTTTTTTCTTTACGATCATTTTTAGCCAAGTTATGATTAAAATGCCAAAAAAAAAAATGAATTTTTACCAAAATCCGTTTTTTCAAATATCGGTCATAAAATGGAAATTGTATTTTTTAGCCATTTTTTGCACATTTTGATGAGTGATTTTCGCCGAGTGACGATGAAAATGCAGTGCAAAAACCATACAAATTGGAATTTGAAAGAAATGGAACTCCAGGAAACACAGGGAGCTCATGCGTGCGGCCAGTCGATACCACCCAGAGGCGTTTTCGCCGAGGGCATCAGCAAGGCAATTCAGCCAACAGCGCCAACAAGTTGACTGCTGGCTATCGCGGTATAAATGATGCCTGACGTCATGATGTCATCGAGTGAGCGGCAGAGCGGAGGAGCAGCCAAGCAACGGAGCTGCGGAGCGGCCAACCTTAATATTTGTAATCTTCAAGTGCAACTAGGCCCCCGGCCACGCCCACCTGGCACTGTTCATTAGCCGCCCACTGATTGGCAATTAAAAAGAAAGGAATTAAACTTGGTCGTCGCTCAATGATGGTGGAAGCTCATCAAACTTTTCCTCTGACTCAGCGCCACCTGGGAGTGGAGAATGAGAAGAGGGGGTTAGGCGATAGAGAGTGCACTGGAAAAAATACTAGTGCGCCTAAAAAGTCACTATATTCGAAACCTTACCTTAACTGAATTTGAAAGTTAAACTAAATCTCCTATATATCTGCATTTACATGATGTATAGATATCACATTTGTAAGCAATATATATATTTCCATTGATAGCAAGTACCATATCTATAAGTACTAGCTTTACGTTATTAGTTTATATCATATCAGTGATCATTGTCTGTTCAATTACGCGCCATAAGTACTTTGATATAAATAACATAATCCCCAATTCGATCGTTTTTCTTGCCGTGCAGTAGTAAAACACTGAGAGAGAAGGATGATGAGTAATACTTCTGTGGCGGAGATGACGCCGCATTGCCCCGCCCCAGTGGGTGGCAGTTATCGGGCAAAGGGCTTTTATCAATAGCGAAAATATTGCGGCTAATGAATGAATGAAAAATGGTAGCGTCATGCATTTGCAATGCGGATCGCCTTCGGTGGAAAACCTTAGGCCAGAGACATGCAAATGCCCGCCATGAGTAATTCACAATTTATAGGCACTACACATATGAATCAAGTTCATCGCATGGGGGTCAATTATTACCCACTTTGTGAAAGAACTTTTAACTTTTTCCGAAAGCCAAGTCCTCTTAGCTGGCATTTATCCAAAGCGAAAGGGTGAGAAATGTAGTTGATGAAGTTAAATAAGAAGAGAACAGAATGAAACATGTGCGCGCATTTCATTGACCTAAAAATGTATTATTTGTTTATATTTTTTATATTTAAGGAAAGTATACGTTTTTTCCTCGCCCTTTTTTTAATCCATTAACCTTAAATTGAATCAAAGAACGACATGTCGGCATGCAAGCCTTCTACATATATCTTTCCATTTAAAAATACGAGTGTTTTCTAGTACACAATACAATTTATCGTATATTCATATATATACGTATACATATACTTAATTTCATATATTTCTCTCTGTGGCCGTTATCAGTAACTTGCAGATTAGTAGCATTATAATTCTAGCATTTGTATGTTTGTACATTCCACATTTTTACTGCTTCTGTGGAAGCATTCGTCACTATCTGAAAAGCGGAAATGACAACACAGATCGGCTTTCAACCCGTTTTAAATGAATGTTATGGCTTTTTGCTTGCCGGTTCTCAAAAGTGACGCAAAAAAAGAGCCAAACAAAAAACGCGGAGATCAACGGATCGGAAGATCTGGAGATGGCTAATGGTTGGGAGTCCCCCGTGGCTCTGGGGGATCGTAAGCTCCAGAAAGCTTGGATCGTTGGCCCTGATAAATCCGGCTGATAGGCCACCGAGAGCAGTTCCCATTCAGCCTCAGCTCAAGATCATGCTACCCGCTCGATTCAGAACGCCTTTGTTCGCGGCCATCGTGGTGATGCTTCTGGTGGCACTCGTCTCCGCCGGAAAGTCGCGCCATCGGTCGCCTGCCAAGTGCCCCACCATCAAGCTGAAGCGCCAGTGGGGCGGCAAGCCATCGTTGGGACTCCACTACCAGGTGCGCCCCATCCGCTACGTGGTCATCCATCACACGGTCACCGGCGAGTGCAGCGGACTGGTCAAGTGCGCCGAGATTCTCCAGAACATGCAGGCCTATCATCAGAACGAGCTGGATTACAACGATATTAGTTACAAGTAAGGATGGTACACTGCTAAAGGTCTTGAATATGATATACTTACGCACATGTGTGAAGAAGAACAGTTCAACCCTTGCTTTGAAGATTTGTATCCCCGCGTCCAGTCTCCTAACTATATCGATCCCTTCCAGCTTTCTGATCGGCAACGATGGCATCGTATACGAGGGCACTGGCTGGGGATTGCGCGGAGCCCACACCTACGGATACAATGGCAATGGCACGGGCATAGCCTTTATCGGCAACTTTGTGGGTAAGTAACAAGTTGGTATTCTCCTCTATGTGAAGCATAATCCCTCTGTGCCCGTAATCTCCGATAGACAAGCTACCAACGGATGCGGCTCTTCAGGCGGCCAAAGATCTGCTGGCCTGCGGAGTGCAACAGGGGGAGTTGAGCGAAGATTACGCCCTGATAGCCGGCTCCCAGGTGATCAGCACCCAGAGTCCCGGACTGACGCTATACAACGAGATCCAGGAGTGGCCGCACTGGCTCTCAAATCCGTAAATCGAATACAACGAATTGCAGTGATTTGCCAGCATGAACACTTTCCAGTTTAGCTATGAAGATACGCCATATAAATAATCCTATGTTGTTGAGTATTTTTTTGTGTTTATTTTTTTATATTTTTCTACTTTGTTTTTTCTTTTTTGTGTCATAATTTACAAAAAGTTTTCGGTCATAAAAATATATATGAATATATAGGTAGTGTATGCATGCCTGCGGTCTTATGCTTTTAATCGTGGTTACGAAACTTGTTGGGCAGCAGGCATAACTTTTGGGTGCGGGCGATAACATATTGCTGGTTAAAACAGGAATTAGGGCATATGGAGAACGCTAGATATAGTGTTTGGTGTTGACTTCTTGAATCGCGCACTTGAGTTATTCCGCCTGGTTGCGCTTAATAACTAGGGTCTTGCTACTAGCTTTAGGCCACATAATAGGCATGTGAAAAAAAAAATGAAAGTACTTTGCAGAATGGCGACAAAAAACTTCCAGTTAATAAACAATTGCATACAATAGGTGGGTGCACATAATTACATTCGCACCCTTTTGGTATGGAATTATCAAATACAGTTTGAGCATGACAGTTTAAATCAATTTGTTAATCAATTTGTGCAAATAGAAATGGCTTAAAATTTAAATCTAATTTAATTTTCTGTTAAGCGCAAACAACTCAATATGTTCACTTTGCCAGCAACCAAATCCATAACTGTATGCCATCTTACACAAATTAGTTAAAACTGCTTATGCAAACAGTAATGAATTATCTATGAGAGACCTATCAGCTGTATGCAGACTTGATATTGTTAAATTCACCTTTACCGCTCAGGCGGTCGATCGCAGTCGGTTCTTAACTACGGCTCGACCGTCCCGGGGATCGGGACGTGCTGGGGGAGCTACCCCCATCCTCCCTTCCTCAGTCGTCGCTCTCCTCGAACGTGGGACTGCTGGGCGAGTAGGCCGGACTCGTGGGACTGTAGTGTGATGGCGCCGTTGGCGAGTACATCGGAGACGTGGGCGAGTAGTTGCGGGCCGTGGGCGTGTACGTTGGCGAGGTGGGTGAGTACTTGGTGCTGCTCGGCGAGTAGATGGACATGTTCGGCGAGTACCGTGGACTCGTCGCCGAGTAGGTCGATCCTGTTGGACTGTACTGGTTGGAGGGAGAGTGCTGCGGCGAGCTAGGTGAGTACAGCGGTGAGGTCGGCGAGTACTTCGGCGAGGCAGGCGAGTACTGCGGCGATCCTGGCGTATATTGTGGTGATCCTGGAGACCCATCGTACGACGGTGAAGGCGGCGAGTACGTCGGCGATGTCGGCGAGTACTTCACCCCCGTCTGTGAGTAAGCTGGAGAGGCTGGGGAATAGTGCGGCGACGCAGAGTAGTTCGGACTTGTCGGCGAGTATGAGGGTGTTACGGGGGTGTAGTTCGGACTCGTTGGCGAGTACGAAGGCGATGTGGGCGAATAGCAAGGCGACGTTGGTGAGTACGAAGGACTCGACGGCGAGTACGATGGTGAAGTCGGCGAATAGGATGGTGAATTGGGTGAGTAGTTGGCCGAGCTGGGCGAGTACGCATTTGCCGGCGAGTAAATGTTGCTACCGCTGCCCGCAAACGACGGACTAGACTGGAAGTGCGGCGTGGGCGAGTACACCGGGGATGTTGGCGAATATCCCGATGAAGATGGCGAGTAACCCGTCGACTGCGGATTGAAATTTGGCGTTGTCGAGGCGTAACGTGGACTTGCAGACGCATAGAGCGGCGATGTCGGCGAATAGTTCGGACTTGAGGGCGAGTAATTGGGCGAGGCTCCACCGGGTGACGATGCCGTATAGTTCGGACTTGTTGGTGAATAAGAGGGAGACACACTGGGCGAGGCTGGGAAGTACGGCGACATCGAAGGGCCTGGTGAACTCGGCGATGAACCCGGATGAGCCGGCGACCAGCTAGGCGACATTCCGGACGCATCCGATGCAGCCGAAGGTGAGAAACTGGGACCGCCAGGAGTCATGGCACTCACTGCAAACACAAGAAAGAAAGAGATGTAATATTTTCGGCATGCCAACCAAAAAGGCTAATTAACAAAAGATACAGCGTTGCTGGATCAAGAATATAATAGAAAACCAATAAATAGAGAATGGAAGTACTAACCGTGGCCGGGTGGAGAGAAGTATCGCGGCGTGTTGCAGTTAGCCCACGGCGTCATCGGTGGCGTCATGCTCGGTGTTGATCCACCGCCAATAAACATAGCGGCGCCGCCTAGCATGCTGCTGCCCAATGTATTCGGAATCTCGATGCCGAAACGACACTTCTCTGCATCGAGCAGAAGGTCAAAGCAGCCGGTACCCATTTTGGGCAGCTGTCCCATGATAATATTCTCAGATACGCCCCTCATGGGATCCGTTTCTGCGTGAGCGGCGGCATCCATCAGCACGTCCACTGTCTCCTCAAAAGAGCAACGCATAAGGGCACCAGTGTCTTGCCTGTTGATGCCGTGACGGGTGATGGCCATTAGATGGCCCTTGGCGGTCATCACATCGCACAACAGGGCCAGGTGACGATAGTTTACGTACAGGCCGTAGAACTGCAGCACAGCGTTCATCTCCTTTTCGACAGACTTTCGCACCGCCTCGATGCCCAGCACCTGGAAAATCTCGCAGATATCGTTGGATGATGTGCGGATCGGGTCCACGTCACGCTCAGACAACACTTTCATCATCGATGTGCCGTCCGTCTCAAGCAGCCATTCGCCAATGGCCTTAAACTCTCCGGTCTCCGTGATCACGATACGCTTCTTGCTGTCGGTCTGTGGCAGATGCATGTACACCTTGCCGATGGCTTCGATGCCCTGCAGTGTCATGTCCGACAGCATGTTGGCCTCAATGCAACGCAGGAACATGTCGTCCTCCATCTTGTCGACGGCCTCGTCTTCGTCCTGGAACTTGTTCTCCTCGTTGTTCATGATCCTAATGCGCAGCACCAGCTTATCAGCATTGTCATCATTGAATATACAATTGAGGTCCTCTCCGAAGCCCACGTTGATCTTCTCGGCAATCTGTTCCATGGTCAGCTTCTTGTCCGTCATTCGCTTGCGGTCCAACTCAATACGCAGCAACCAGGGTGAGATGCGAGTGGGATCAAAGTCAGGCATTTCGTAATAGACATTTACGAACTCTTGATCCTCGGATATCACCGTTCTCTGCGGATCCGGGTCGTAGTAAATAGCCGTGTTCGCCGTAACCTTGCGCAGCGTGGTATGCTCCAGGCGGCACAGTACGTTCTTGGCCTTCTCCGCATCGCGGGCAGCGCCGCCAGTAAGGAAAACGGTTAGCGACGGAGCCTTGGGCTTCTTGGATATGTTGATGATCTCCTTGAGACGCGGCACACCCAGTGTTACGTTCTTCGACGACACACCAGCAAAATGGAAGGTGTTCAGTGTCATCTGAGTAGCGGGCTCACCCAAACTCTGGGCAGCCAGCGCACCCACCATCTCGCCGGGATTAGCCTGGGCCTGCTGGAAACGAGTTTCGATTTCTCCGATCAACCACTCAAATGCCTCCGTGGACAGGCGGAACTCCTCCGACACGTATTTCGTACACAGTGTCGAGCGGATTAGGCACTGGAATAGCAACGTGGCGTTCTCGTTGGCCTGCTTGGAAATACGATCGTTTCCCGTGACAATAACACACCGTTCGAGTAATCCCTTAACGCCCTTGATCACCCGCATGGGCGAGAGATCCGTGGGCAGGCGCTTGTTGATGTGGAAGATCTTCTGCACATTCCAGATCATACGCTGCAAGTTACACGGCAGCACCACCTTGGAATCGCCGTTGGGGAAGATTTGTCTCAAACTGTCGCGATCGCCAACCAAACGATCCCACTCTGCCTCCAGTTCCTGAATGGCTTCGCTGCTGTCGGTCATTTCCTTAATGACATCGTCCGTAAATACCTTCCTCATGTACCGCTCGTTGCTCCAGTCAAATTTGAAGCGCTTTTCGAACGCCTTGTTCGACAGTTTCACCGTGGGCATGTTCTGGAACTCTACTAACTCGCCACACAGGCCGTCCTCGCCGTAACGCAGCTGAATCAGTTGGCCCACCGAGTTACGCACAGTGCCGTCGTAGTTAACCATCACCGACTCCATAGCCTTTATAAGACGACGCTGGATGTAACCGGTTTCAGCTGTCTTTACAGCAGTATCGATAAGACCCTCGCGACCACCCATGGCGTGGAAATAGAACTCAGAGGGAGTCAGGCCAGCAAGATACGAATTCTCAACAAAACCGCGGGACTCAGGACCGTAATCGTCTTTGATAAAGTGGGGAAGAGTGCGCTTGCGGAAACCGTAGGGGATTCGCTTACCCTCCACGTTCTGCTGACCCACGCAAGCAATAACCTGGAAAAAAAAATTCCAGCAAGTTAAATGGGTTCGAAACGAAATCGCTAGTCAGTAACTCACCTGTGAGATATTAATGTTGGAACCCTTGGAACCAGACACCACCATAGCCTTTAAATTGTTGTACTCAGTGAGAGATTTCTTGGCCGAACCACCAGTCTTGTCACGAGCATCGTTTAGGATACGGTTCACCTTGTTCTCGAAGGTCTGACGCAGAGTATTACCCGGCGTGGGCTCCAGCTCCATGTTGTGGGCCTTCTGGATAACGTTTATCACGTCGTCCTTGGCCTTCTTAATGGCCTGCTGGATCTCGTTGTAGGTCTGCGGATCGGCAATGGTGTCACCAATACCGATACTATGGCCCTCGAGCAGCAGCCAATTGTTGATCACGGTCTGAATGTTGCCGTAGAACCGGCCAGCGATGTCGTGACCAAGTTCCAGGAAGCAAATATGCAGCAGCGATCCAGCTGAAGTACCCAGAGTCTTCTTGCAGAGAATGCCCATGATAAGTTCACCGTGCTCCACCATTACCTTGGTGTCACCGGGCGAGATCCACTTGTACGGTCCATCGTCCTCCTCGTCCGGATGCGTGGAATGCGTGCGTATCATGTTCACGTTGCCGGGGATGATCAGGGAGAAGATCTGTTTGCCTGTCCACAGAGGACGCGGTTTCAGGATGCAAGGTTGTGGCATTTTACCGTCCCACGTGGGCAGGAACATGAGCAGATTCATCACCTGTTCCCGCGTGATGAATACGTCACGCTTGGTCATCTTTCGCACCGCAGTCAGAGTGTCCTGCACGATACCCATGACGGGTTTGTTCGCCTGCGGCGTGATGATCTGTCTGGGTGTGATGTGGATGTTCTCCACCTCGGCACGCGTCTCCATGGACTGCGGAACGTGCAGATTCATCTCATCGCCATCGAAATCGGCATTGTAGGGCGATGTACACGAGAGGTTCATGCGGAACGTCGACCAGGGCAGCACTTTCACCCTGTGACCCATCATACTCATCTTGTGCAGCGTGGGCTGTCGGTTGAAGATCACAAGGTCGTCGTCGCGCAAATGTCGCTCCACCTTGTAGCCGCACTGCAGATGTAGGTCAGAGGATTTCGGGTGGAAGCGAAGATCAATACGCTCGCCATTGTCACGCACAATGTACTTGGCACCCGGGTACTGTGAGTTACCTCGGCGCACAAGCTCTTGCATGCGATCGATGTTGAATGGAGTCACCAGCTCGGGGAAGGTCAGATTCTGGGCAATAGAACGCGGTACACCGACCTGATCGATACGCAGATTTGGATCGGGTGTGATGACAGTACGAGCGGAGAAATCCACACGTTTACCCATCAAATTGCCACGAATCCTACCCTCCTTACCCTTGAGACGCGCCTTGATGGCTTTGAGGGGTTTTCCCGACTTTTGCATAGCCCTGGGCATGCCGGGCATATCATTGTCCACCAGTGTGGCGACGTGAAACTGCAACATCTTGATGTTCTCCTGGATCACATGCGCTGCCGCTCCACTGGCCTCGTTCTTACGTAGCTCATTGTTTGCCTTGATGATATCAGACAGCTTGTGCGTCAAATCATCCTGATTCTTGGCTGCACCGAACATCACGACCGCCGGCCGCACGGCCAATGGTGGAACAGGCAGGACGGTGACGATCATCCAATCGGGACGCGCATATTTGGGGTCCATGCCCAGAATAAAGCACTCCTCGTCGGTGATATGCTTCAGAATTTCCCAAACACGCTCCGCCGATACGACAATCTTCTTCTCCTGCGAATCCTCGTTCTGATGCTTCCACTCGGCGGTGAGATCCAGTCCTGTTCGCCGGATCGACGGCTGATAGTGACCGCAACCGCCGTGGCCGGGCTTTTTGTTTGGATCCGGCTGCTGGTTCCCCTTGGTGATATCCATGTCCTCGCCGCCCTCGCAAATCGTCTTGCCCTTGCACAGATCATAGACGTAAGCCAGACGTTTACGCGGCTGACCCTTGGACTTCATCACGATCTCCTTGATCTTCGGATTGTGTGGCGAGACCAGCATTTTGGAGCAATAGAAGCACACACAACGCAGAATCTTAATTGTCTTGGTGATAAAGCCGATGTGGAACACTGGTTTGGCCAGGTCGATGTGTCCAAAGTGTCCGGGGCACTCAGTCATATTGCCGGCGCACGTCTGACAGCGCGACGTCCTGTCTATGACGCCCTGGCGCGGATCCATCAATCCGCCCAGTTTCGGACGTCCGCCCTCCATCGTCTCCGCAAACTGGACGCCACCCTCGGTGACGGACATGCGACGCTGCAATCAGGAAGGAAGTAACATATGTGGGTCAACAAAGGTTGAATTCGAAAAGTGCATGTCAAATCAATAGCTTGATATCTGTGATATTTGAAAGTAATGGTCGATTCTGAGTTCCTGATACCCACGGTAAATATAATTGTATATTGAGTACGAACAAAATACATTTTCTCTACTTTCTGGACAAGTAATGATATTTAGCCGGAAAACGTTTCTGACTAAGGGTTTCCACCAGTAAATCGAAGTTTTAAAGAGTTTCGCCATATCGTGGTGCTGGATTTCCACTTATAGAGGACTACTTCCGACCCAGGTAAACACTCCAGTTCTTTAACTATATGCATTTGTTTGTTGCTTTGCTCGTTTTTATATGTAATATAAGCCCCCCCGTTCCTCTTTCATTTCGAATTAACCATGATGTGTGCATGGAGTAATAACCATTTATTTGCCCACAAACCATATAAACCACATAAAGCCACGATATGTGTTTGCGAATTTAATGGGAATGCTATTTTGCGTTTACAAAAATGTTAAATTTTTCAATATGGCGTCGAACGGAGGAATCTGTGAGCTGAACTTACAATTTCATCAGGTGACAAAATGCCGAACTGTACGCGCTTCACCTGGCGCAGCGGCGCCTTCGAATCCGTGGTGGTGCTCATCCTGGTCGTCGGCGGTGGTGGTGGCCACTAGACCGGCAGAGCCACAGGCGACAGAAAGTGGGCCTGCTATCGGTGTTTTTCTTTTCCTTCCCTTTCTTTGCTTTTGCTTTTTCTGCTGCGTCGTCACACTTTTCACCTCGTGCGGAAGACAAGGGAAACGAAACGGCTGGGTAAGGAAAAAGAGCAGATCGCACGTTACGGATGGCCAAAAACAAGGCTGCGTAAACAATCACAGTTTGTTGCTGGCTCCCTGGCCGTGCATTCTATAACAGTCGATCGCTACAGGCGGTTGCGAATGCGAATTACCCCGTTTTTAAGACGCGATGCGATGTGAAAACGCGGACAACGCCGACCAATGAGTGTGACTGCAGGGGCGCAGCGGCGAAATACCACAGTGGAATACGGTCATGCTAACAGAGCTGCCGGTTGGTTTAAGATTGCGATTTTCAGCCTTTTCCAGTTTAGCAGTTAGTAGTTTATCATGTAAATTAGCTGCAGCACATTTAAATCAAACTGACTTTGATAGCCTATAATAAAGTCCAGAACCTGTTGATTATTTAGAACCAACTTCTAGCATTTCACTAGTAGTTTTCATACTCGCCATGTTAGCATCTCCCAGAAAGCGTCAGGTGGCAGCTCCGGTAACAGTGTTGGCGGTCAAGAGCGGTCAAGCAATCAGCTGTGTTGTGCGGTCCAATTTGGTCAATAGTAGTTACGACAACAATTAATCGCAATTGAGAAGGATGAGCGAGGCCGGCACCAACGCGGATGCTGTGGCGGCCGAGAAGGAGCGCAAGTTCCGCATCCAGGGTGGGTGGTTATCCAAACCCGTCATACATACGCACACATTATCAGCCAGAACCTGACTGGAGTACACCTCCACTTCATCCTCCACTTTGCAGCCGCCGCCTTTCTGGGTTTGGTGGGCGGGGTGTCCGCTCTGTTTGGCTTCTCACGCACGCTGGCCACCGCCAAGAAGACGGATAGCAAGGTCCTCCAGCAGGCTGGAACCCGGCAAGGCATGATCCTGATGGACGAGGGCGCCACACTAGCCCTGCGGGCACTGGGCTGGGGCACACTGTACGCCGTGATGGGCACCGGCGCCTTCTGCTACGGCTTCTGGAAGCTATCCGGAGCCAAAGATGTGAGCATTGCCCCTGGCATGTTCAAAGAATTTCGCTTTAACTCTTTCGTCTCTTTTGCAGTTCCAGGAGTTCCGCCTCAAGATGGGTAATGCACTGCCAAGGATCACCAAGGACGAGCCACCAACCAGCCGTACCGATTTCGAGAGTCTCACGGACCTCATGAAATACCTGGCAGCCTGGAACAAGGAATGAGCAGTTCACAAATATACACACAATTTAAATTAAACCTAACGCCTAAGTAGACCAGAACACAAAACGAAAACCTTTGTTAGCTTCAGTTTAAATACAGCCAATGTTTTCAAGACGTTTGATCGGGTTTTATTACTTTTTGTCAGGTTCGAAGGCATCTAGAAGTCAAGAGAAGTGCAACTTGGGGAATTACATATTGGGGTAGAAATAAATATAAGTCCCAATCATAGCAGTCTTACTTTACTTTTTTAACATTAACATTTTACTTATATCTATGCATAGCTTAGGACCTTCGTTGGCCTGCCAAATTCTGGTGTACAGCGTTGTTGATCATGGTGTTCCGCATAAATATGTAGTGATCCTCCAAATTGAAGTGCAGGTCCATCATTTCCTCGTGCTCCGCCTGAAATCGGATGGCAGCATTTGTGAAAGCCAATGAGCCTCGCACGAAGTTCTGCAAATTGGGGCCCTGATCTAGGTGACGCTGCTGCTCCTTGTTGGGCTGGTAGTTAACCTTGCGGTTGTCCGTGTCCAGAGCCGCATGCATCACGAAGTCAAAGAATTTTTGCTGCTCTTTCTGGGCGCGCTCCTTGAACTGCTGCACATCGTTCTCCTGACAGCTAGGTTCCCAGACTGAAAGTACATATGTACATAAATTAAGAGATAATTTAATTAAAAACCAGGAAAGCACTTACTTTCGTCTAGGTCAATGTTGAACAAAGTGCTTGCTTCGTAGCGACGCGGTTTCAAAGTAGCCTCCAGTTGAGCGGGCACGTCCTTGAGATCAATGTCGGAAAGATCACCGTGCGACAGATCGCCGACACTTATGCAGCCCACGTTTTCCAGTACGTCACTACGGCGTACGGATTTCATTAGTTTTTCTGGACTTTCGGCTGGCTCCATGGCGTTGCTTCGTATATTTGCGGTTTTAAATCCTTATTCGCTTGCCAACACTAATCGTATAACCAGTGATGCCACATCTTTACAATGTCATACGCTTCCGGCTATTTTCAAGCCAAAATCTTTTATTCAAATTCATAAGTACGATAGGAAAATACAAATTTTAACATTATTAAAAAAAAACTTCACTGAAAAAGAAGTCAGGTATAAATAATTTTCTAAATGGAAAGGAGGCCTATCGTTAGTAATCACATCTCAGTTATTTGTTCAAGTAGCTAACCCAAACCAACCAAATCGAGAGCCAAACAAAACTATATACTTTCTCAAAATCCAAAATTAAAAATTTTCCGAAATTAAAAAATGATTTATGCGAACGCGGTATACATACTGTCCCTGCTCGTGGGCTGTTTTTATCCAGCATTCGCGTCCTACAAGATCCTGAACCATCAGAAGCGTAGTGACAATGATCTTCGCGGTTGGTTGACCTACTGGATCGCCTATGGAGTTTACGTGGCTTTCGATTTGTTCACAGCGGGTCTGGTGGCATTCATTCCATTTCTAAGCGAGTTCAAACTGATCCTCCTGTTCTGGATGCTGCCTACTGTGGGCGGCGGCAGTGAGGTGATCTACGAGGAATTCCTGCGATCGTTCTTTAGCTCCAATGACTCCTTCGATCAGGTCCTGGCCCGTGTCACCTTGGCCGGCAGTGAATTGGTGGGTCAACTGGTTGGCTCCGTTCTTGGCCATTTGATGATCTTAGCAGATTGCTATCTCCTTCCCCGCGGGCAGCGTCCTGCACTCCAAATTACGCCCAGCATCGAGGATCTGGTCAACGATGTGATAGCCAAGAGACAGTTAGAAGAGAAGCGGAAACAGATGGGGAACCTATCCGATACCATCAACGAGGTCATGGGAGACAAGACCGATTTAAACATGGATCTGCTGAACGGATCTGAATCCGATATTCTGGTCCTCAAGGAGCATATTTCCAAGCCCAAGGAGAAACCTAAAACGGCGCCGAAGCCAATGCGTCAGCCGTCATCGAGCAACCAGGAAGAAATGAACCTTCAGCCGCAGTTTATGTTATATCAATAGATGTCCTCAATAAGTCAGACAGAAGTTATCAAGACTAAAAATTTTCGAATGTCATACATAATAGAAATTAAGTAACCATACCGCAATAAATTTATGAAACCTCATTCAAATTGATTAATCTCAGTTACAAAATATTAGAAATATTTTTAGCTATTTTTTTCAACTTTTTTTTTTTTTGCACAATTAGATGCGGCAGTCTCTGTTTGCGGTCCGGCAACGCCCACAAAACAAAACTCAGCAACGAATCAAAAACAGCTGCATTTAACGCGATTCGACTCGGGATTTGTGTCCTTCCTTTTATGAGATGATATGCCGACTCTGCCTGGAGGATGCTGAGCACGGGGTGCCCATTTTCGGCCAGGAATCGCCAGTGGGACAACCGGCGCTTCGCCAGCTGGCGGAGCTGATCGAGCGACATCTGCTGCTGGTGGTGAGTAGAATTGGACTTTCCTACCCGGAAAGACGTTTTTAATAATGAGTCAATTTTATTCAGTTAGCGGAGAACGATGCAGTGTCCACGTGCCTGTGCAACCGCTGCTGGCGCCAGCTGGCCGAGATCGAGCACTTCTGTTCCATGGTGGCGGAGAAGCAGCGGTCGCTGCACCGCTCCCTGCAGCTGAAAACGGAGTTGCCGGAACTGCCCGAACTGACTGAGCCGGAGCCCGCCTTGGTTGTGTGGAACACGGAGTCTCCGATCGAGCCAAAGCTCAGCTACGAGGGCGATGACATTAAGGATCACATACTGTGCGAACCTGTCATCGACGCCTTGTCCGCGGGCGATGAAAAGGACAGCGACTATGGGGACACCTTTGAGCCGGACTTCGAGCCGGAATCGCAGCCGGATGAAGAAGAGCCGGAGCCGGATCCGGTGAAACCACGCCCCAGAGGAAGGCCGCGCAAAACTGCGCTGCAGCAAACGCATCAGATTATCAAAAGGAAGTACGAGAAGCGCAAGCAGCAGAACAAGGCCAAGATCACAGAGTTATCATTGAGGGAATCAAGGGCCCGACAAAGGGAGCTCAAACGCAGCAATGCTGGAGAAGAGGACGATCAAGATGGCGACGAGGACGAAGAAGAGGAGGAGGATGCCGGCGGCGAGCTAACTCCAGATGCCGACGAGCAGCCAAAGCCGCGCGGCAAACGTGGTCGACCCAAGACCAAGAAATTGGTCACTGCCGACGATAATGAAGATCCCTCGGAGGCGCCCGTCAAGCGCAGCAGCATCAAGGAAATGGACGACTACATAGCCGCCAATGTTAAGCTGGACTGCGCCATTTGCGCAGCCCCGCTGGAGGACTTTAACGATCTCAAGCGCCACTTTCGCGTGGAGCACGACTGCACCGGCTATGTGAAGTGTTGCAATAATCGGTATAAGAAGCGGACCCTGTACGTCGACCATTTGCACTGCCACAAGGATCCGCAGTACTTTAGCTGCCAGAGCTGCCGCAAGAACTTCCTCAACCGCAACAGTCAGGTGATGCACATGCTGCGATTCCATTCGCAGCAGCAAGAGCTGGTCCACCAGTGCGCCATCTGCGAGGCGCGCTTTGCCAAAAAATTCCTGCTGACCATGCACCTGAAGGGACACAAGGGCACCGAGCGTCCCGAGGTGTGCGACACCTGCAGCAAGACGTGAGTGGCGCTAGACTGGTAGGCAAATCCACTAATGCATTGCTCTCTCATGTTCATAGATTCCGCACCAAGTTCGAACTAAGTGCCCACGTAAAACGCATGCATGCAGCGGATTTTACGCCCATCATATGCGACATTTGCGGTACACACTTCAGGAGCAAGGCCAACTTCCTCATCCACAAGAAGGCGCTGCATCCGGACGGGCCCGTGGCGGAGGTGCAGTGTACCCTGTGCGGCCGCTGGCTGCGGGACGAACGAAGCCTGCGCAAGCATCTGGCACGCCACGATGACCGCGACGGCGACACCAAGTACCGATGCCTGCTCTGCAATGCAGAGAAGTCATCCCGTGCCGCACTCAGCAGCCACATGCGGTACCATCACTCCGCCAAGCGGCACAAGTGCAGTCTCTGCGACAAGGAGTTCAAGCTGCCGCGGGCATTAGCCGTGAGTTGACTGGAGTATTAGATTCTGATCTGGCTAATCCCAAACCGTTTTTATTCCAGGAGCACATGGCCACTCACACGGGCATCGATCTGTACCAATGTCAGTTCTGCACGCGCACCTTTAAGTCTCACGCCAACATGCACAACCACAAGAAGAAGATGCATCCCAACGACTGGGTGAGAAAGTACTCGCAGCCCAGCAGCAGCATTACCTCCACAGCGGCTCCAGTTGCTCTCCCAAATCATCCTAGCCAGCCTGCTCCTCCAGCGGCAGCTCCAGCTAACTTAGCCGGGCACATGCTGCCGCCACTTGGTGGCATTGCCAAGTCGCTGATTGAAATACCCGATACCGAGCGCTTCGACTTTGTCAGCAACAGCTCCGTGTGCCCCACGCCCGACTGAATCTCTGTGTGTGTTTGGTGTCTGTCTCTGCTACTTTGTGTAAGCACCGTTCCCTGGTCGGGATTTATGTATAAAATCGTACAAGTAAACTTTATTAATATAAAAAGATTGTTGCTGTTACATAAAATATATATATGTGGGTTGAGGCTAGGACTCGTCCTCCGGTTCATCGGCCTCCTCCTCGTTCTCGGTGAGAATGGTGCGAATCTTCATCAGCAGCTCCTTCTTAATGGCATCCGGCACCAGGGTGCGGGCCTTGGGCGTTACCTCGGTGATCAGCTGCTCCACGGTGAAGCTATTGTTGGTGCCCTTCTCCAGCAGGATGTTGCGGCACATCAGGCGCACCTCGTCCCGCCAGCCGCACTCCGTTAGACGGCTGCAGAGCAAATCCTTGATCTTGGAACGGTCCCCAGTTAGCACAGTGTACTGGTCAACTGCGGCGGAAACGCTCATCCTTGTGTCGCGAGAATGTAGTCTTCCAAGTTACTATGATTATTTTCCTTTTCCGAGTCCTTGCGTCTGCTCTTTCGCTTTGTTTTCGCTGCGTTTGTCTATCTTTTTGGTTTTCGCTTTGTTGTTGCTGTGATATCGCGAACAGTCTGGCTACTTTCTAGCTAGTTTTCAGATGCAGATTTGAACCAGCTTAAAATCAGTAGTAATGTAAAAAAAAATATGTATAAAGTTTTGATAGTACTTAATTTTAATTGGAATTCTTATGCGATCGGTAATTTTGATCGATAACTTTTAATGGTAGCTCCTTTTATACCCCACCTTGGCATCTCTTTCGCTCGAAGTTTATTTAGCCTGCGATCTGGCAACGCCGCAGCGACGTCTTAAACTGAATTTGCGAGGCAATTAATTGAATTAATTGCTTTTCCTACAGCCGTAGTGCAATGATATGCCGCCTGTGCCTGGACGATGCGGAGCACAGTGTGCCAATCTTCGACCAGGAAGACTCCGGCGATCAACCAGTGCCCTCCAATCTGGCGGAGCTAATTGAGAAGCACCTGCAGTTGGTGGTAAGTAGTGAATTCCGGTTTAAACACAGACATTTGTATAAAGATAGATTGCATCCTTGTTCCCAGCTCCTGCCGAACGATGGGGTGTCCAAGAGCCTCTGCACTCAGTGCTGGCAGCAGTTGGCCGACTTCGAGCAGTTCTGCGCCATGGTGATGAAGAAACAGCTGGGCATACAGCAACTGAAGATGGAGCCGTTCTCTGAGGACGAGGATGCGGACACAAAGGCCCAGATCCTGTGCGAACCGGAGATAGATGTGAGTCCTGCGGCCGCGGACAACGAGGAGTGCAACGAGATCGACGGCGACGCCAGCAGCAGCAGCAGTAGGAGCAGTAGCATCCAAACAACTCCGCGACGAGGAATGCGCCTGCCTTCGCCCATTAGACGCAGCATGCGTCTACCCCGGGCAGTCACAGCAACCAAAACTCAGGCGGTCAAGGCCAAGGCCAAAACGAAGCACCACAAAGAGGAGGCTGACGACGATGAGGATGGCGAGGGCGATGCGGAGAGCCGCAGCAGCAATAGTCGGGAAATGGACAGCTATATCGCTCTGCACGGCCGTCTGGAGTGCTGCATTTGTGGCGGCGACGATCAGTTTCCCAATTTTGCCGAGATGAAACGGCACTTTCGGAATCATCACCAGTCCCTCGGATATGTGATCTGCTGCCAGCGGCGCTACAAGAAGCGTGCCCTCTACGTGGACCATCTACACATGCACAACGATCCGAATTACTTTAGGTACTTGGTCAGCCTAGGCAATTGATTGAATCCTTACTAATGAAAGAACTGTGCAGGTGCAAGATCTGCTCCAAGCAACTGGTTAGCCGGATTAGCTACGATGTACACATGCTGCGATTCCACCCCAACAAGGACGACCTGAGCTTCGCGTGCGATCAGTGCTCCAAGCGGTTCTCCAAGCAGTTTCTTCTCACCATTCACTCCAGGGTGCACCAGCAGGAGCGCAATGAGCAGTGCAAGCACTGCGACAGATCGTAAGTTAATGCAAAAAATAGAAGAGTGAATTGATGGCCATGATACGCCCCCACAGCTTTCGCACCGCCGTTGATCTGCGGCTGCACATGCGACGCACCCATGACCCCGCCTTCGTGCCCTTCATCTGCGATTCGTGTGGCGCCAAGTTCAAGACGAAGCAGAACCTGCTAGTCCACAAGCGGACCGTGCATCGCGAGGGCTCCCAGCTGCCTGAGGTACAGTGCCAGGAGTGCCAGGTGTGGCTGTCCGACGAGAACAGTTTGCGCAAGCACATGTACATGCATTTGGATGCCGCCTCGCTGCGCCAGTGGAAGTGCGATCAGTGCGGCTTGGAGAAGGGATCGCGGGCTAAGCTGGCGGCCCACATACGCTACCATCATCCAAAGGAGTACCACAAGTGCACGCACTGCGCCAAGGAGTTCAAGAGCAGTCGCAGCCTCGAGGAGCACACGGCCACGCACACCGGCCAGGATTTGTATGAGTGCGCCTTCTGCGAGCGCACCTTCAAGAACTCGGGGAACATGCACAAGCACCGCCGCCAGATGCACGCCGCCCAGGTGGCCGCCCTGCAGCAGCAGAAGAAGGTGCCACCCAGCAAGCGCAAGGACAAGGGTGACCTGCTACTCGACGTCCTGGCCGCCGGAGGCAAGGAAGTGAACCACGTCATGGGTGTGGGCGACATGAATGACTGATTGATTCTAAAAACCAAATAAACTACATTGGAAGTCTATGAAAGCCAGTAAATTTTTTAAACCATATATAGTCCGAATTACTTTGGGAATTATAGGCTTATATTTAAAGATATTTTTTGCAATTGGAGTAGTTTGGAAGTCCCGCTATTTTCGTAGTCATGCTGTTCCCACTATATTATATTCGGTATTTTCGCACCCATTAGTGTGCCCAAAACTCGAAAATATCAAGGGCTAGAGCCGCTAGATGTTGCAGCATTCTCGGCCTGGTCACACTGAGCTAGGGCTACTTTTTATATCATAAATCGAGAGTTTCAGGTAAGCGAGACCAAAAGTTTTTTTTAGCATGACGTTTTAGTTTGGTTGCTGTAATTTTCAAATTGTAAAACTTCACTTTCTTTGACCCAAAACACACTCAAAAACACGTTTGCAGTTCAGTTCATTATTTACTGATATACATACACACTGATTACGCATTCAATTGGCATTTTCCCCTTGATTTTCTACCATTGTCTTGCACTGAACATAAATTTAACGAGAAAGGACGTAAGTGTGGGGTGCTTGAAAGTTCTATTTTCTTGGTACAGTTCCCATGGAGCTGGTGAGTACTCTGCGCAGTGCAACGCATACACACACGAACTCGAATTGTGACAGGCAAAATGGTGGTGACCTATTTATAACATCCGTACAGTCTTCCAATTCTCCCTCGCTTTTTCATTCAGTCTCCAACTAACTGCAAGTGAGTGCGTTACTTCCAAGATCCTCTCCTCTTATTGTCAAATGAAAAAAATGTATATAAATCGAACCATTGAATAAGATTTTCCGACACGTTGCAGCCACGAAAATCCTAATTCTATCCTCTTCTCTTTCGTTTAAGGTGCTCAGATGGCCATCTAAAGGGTAAATTGTTGTTACATATAGCTTTAGAGATAGTTTCGAATCACATTGATAATCGTGCGAAACGTTCTCCGAAGCAAACTCAAACAAGTAACGATTTCCACACAGTCGAAATGTTTAAGTTGAATTGTCTTACGGACAGTAAGATGAGTACGACTATTTGGAAATCACAAACGAATTGTTTTCATGGTTGACACGCTTGCCAAGCTGCAAAACAAAATGAAAGAAATACAATACAAGAAAAATATATTTTAGAACGCAACATTGTACAAGTCGCAATGAAAACTAAAGTCTTAAAAGACGTGTAAAATGTTGCAAATTAAGCAAATATATATGCATACATGGGTAACGTTTTACGCGCCTTAACCAGTCAAAATACTAAAAATGTATAAATTTCATATAACTAGTGAAATGTTGTACGAAACTTAGCAATTGTCAAGTTATTCAGATCTATTTAGAGCAGGATGGCAATAGAGAGGTGATCTCTCTCGCATACGAGACTTGAAAGAAAAAAGAGAAGGCGAACCGTGCCGGATTAGAGTGAGATGGCCATACTACTTAACTGCTTTATGCAAATACATATGTTTAAATGTTTAGCTTACAACATTTCCGCCATATTGTTGGCGCTGAATTCGAAATTCGAGGTGCTTTTAAGGCTGCCATCTTGGTTTTTAAGGTGACCAGCATTATTATTTGAATTTCATATTACAAAATAAAGACCTAATTGCCATCGAAAATAACTTGTAAGTTTTTTTTTGTTTCTTCAAATTAGTCAGTTTTTATATCTGTTAGAAGCGTTTAATCTTTGATAAGTTAGCAATAGCGATCCTCCGCGATTGCTGCGCTTATCGATAATTATTTAGTGTGGCAACGTTAGCCAGGGCTGGCAAGGATGGTACGATAACAGACTGCTGTAATGTTATTTTCAAGCCAAAAAACTATGCGCGCTGCTCTGCAGACATGCAAATCATTATCAAGTATTTCAGTGCGGTCAATTGCAGTTTATGTTATAAGCCCCTACAACGTACCGAAAGCAATGCCACAAACCACAATGTAAATGGCGTATCCATGACATCAACCCTGATCATCTTAATGGCTCTTCTACGGTCACACTGCCAAGTCACAATTTGAAATGCAAAGCCGCTTATGTAGTTGCATAGAAGAAAATAAAACAGTTTCGGTGAATTATAACTAACTTTGGGTTATTCAAACAACTTCGATCAGCATGGATGGCGAGAATCCGAACGCAGTTCGGATTGCGGTCCGCGAGGCGCCGTACAGCCAATTTTCGGGGCGTCGGGAGCCCAGCGTCGTCCAGTTTCCGACACGGAGTAACGGGAAGGTATGTGCGGCACCATTACCATGCGCATATGCACGTAACTGTAAATGACCGCCCTCTTGCTTTTCAGTCGTTGATGGTGGAGCAGAATGAGTTCCACTTTGATTACGTCTTTCCCGCGACCATCAGCCAGGATGAGATGTACCAGGCGCTGATCCAGCCGCTGGTGGACAAGTTCCTGGAGGGATACCCGTGCACGGCACTCGCCTACGGGCAGACGGGAACGGGGAAGAGTTACTCTATGGGAATGGCTCCACCCGACAAGGTGCGTTTTTAGCTTGGCGATCAGTTGATCACTTAGAGGCAGTGCCATTTCCTTGTTATCTATCGTGCAAAATGCTCGAGCCTAACCAAGCTATTCGAGTAAGATGCATTGCTTCGAGTTTAAAGATCATCGCTATCTATAATAACGCTTTCAATCCTCTACATATACTGAAGCCCGAGCACATGGGTGTTCTTCCTCGAGTCCTGGCCGATATTCTGGAGCGCGTGACCGCCAGGCAGGAGAACCACAAGAATCCCGTTCTGGTGTACGCCTCCTTCATAGAGATCTACAATGAGAAACCCTTCGATCTGCTGAGCTCCAGGCCGCATATGCCCATGGTGGCGGCGCGTTGCCGTCAATGCACTTGCCTTCCGTTGCACAGCCAGGAGGATCTGCAGGACATATTGGAACTGGGCATTCGGAACCGACGCGTTCGTGCCACCAATATGAATTCCAACAGTTCCCGATCACATGCTATAGTCACTATTCATGTGAAGAGTGACACCCATCACTGCAGGATGAATATTGTGGATCTGGCCGGATCGGAGGGCGTGAGGCGAACTGGGCACGAGGGCGTGGCCAGGCAGGAGGGCGTCAACATCAATCTGGGCTTGTTGAGCATCAACAAGGTGGTGATGGCCATGGCGGCGGGCCACCCCCTGATTCCATACCGCGACAGCGTCCTTACCGCAGTTCTGCAGGGTAAGCGCAACGTTTCAATACAACCTTTTGTGTTAAAGCCTTTATTGATTAGCATAGTTACTATTAAAATGTTCTCTTCAAAATGTTTCCAGAGTCGCTCACCGCACAGGCATATCTGACCTTTCTTGCGTGCATCAGTCCGCATCGATGCGATCTCAGCGAGACGTTGTCCACGTTGCGTTTTGGCAGCGGAGCCAAGAAGCTTCGCCTGAATCCGCTGCAAGTGGCGCGCCAGAAGGTGAGTTTTCTATATGTAGTTAAAGTCCACGCTGTCGAGGATCACCTCGCGTATGCGCTGTTTAAAAGTAGCCTCGTTGCCCGCGCCGAGGAAACCAGCTCCATGGAGGTCCGTGGTGGCACCAGCCTCGATTCGCTCGCTAATCGCTTGAAGGTCGGGCACATCCTGACCCTGCATCGTTACAATGGGTAGAACCATCATGGCGAGGAGCAGGCCCACAGCCGCTTTCCTAGCCACCTGTTCATCGAATGCAGGACGGGGAAAAAGTTGCTCCACCCGCTCGCCTAGTCTGTTGCAAAGATATTAATAGTCGCCATTTAATAGTCGAAGATCTAGGAGTCTCTCTGTCACTTACCTAATTAGCTGCAGGCCCAACTCCTCATAGTAATCGTCTAGCATATTTTTAAGGTGTTTCTGCCTGAATCCCCGCGAAGTGCAGGTAAATAGGAAGTAGAATAAATCGGTGACCGGTGAGGCATATCGCATCAATTGCCAGTCGATCAGGCGCACGTCCTCAAGCTCTCCCCGCTCTGCAGTCTTGTAAAGAATGTTGTTATTCCAACAATCGCCATGGCAGATGACAGCGAAGGGTTCGCAATTGGATCCGCTGACCAGAGGGAGCAGCAACTGAAAGTACGATCCCCTGGCGAAGTATGCCTCCAGACGAACTCTGTAGGATTCATCCTCCGGTGCCAGCAGTGCAGATAGGGCACTTCCTTTGAGATTCTCAAAGTAGACACCCAAGGCATGATCCTCTCGTCGCTGCTCAAAGATGTCAACCAGCTGCTGCAGTTTTTGCATTCTCTCGGGGAACTGGCGCTTCCCGGCCAATGATATCGCATGTAATTTGGCATAGGTGACCATTACGCGACGCACATGCTCAACGGACAGGTCCAGAAACCGATTGTGAAGAGAGAATCCGGCACAGGAGAGATCCTCCAGCACGATGCACTCATTGGGCTCATCCAGGCGAGTTCCGAAACAGAGGGCGTGCTGCCGGAAACGATCGCCTCCGGATATCTTCCACCTTTCCTGAATCATCTCAGTTAGCGGCAGAAAGACCTCGTATGCTGCCGTTTCGCGCAGGAAACATGGTCGTGCAAAGAATTGCTTGCGGCGAACGCGATTCTGTGGCGGCAGCTTAACCACCAGGCTGCGATTCGAATCGGAAGCCGCCTGTAGACGCCACACGACGCCCAAATAATTGTCACCCTTGGCGCTTGCTCTTTCCAGACGCAGTTCGGGATTGGCGCCTAGCTCCGGCCACAGTTGGCTGACCAGCTGACGGAGAAACTGTGTAACCTGCTCGTTGGGGAGATCTTCTTCTGGATGCTTGGCTGCATCTTCGTGTTGCGCTACAGGAATCTCGTGTTGTTGCCCAACTCTGTCTAGGTTCTCTTTATTCTCCTCCTGGTTCGGATCTGGTTCGTCTTCCTTCTGATTATCGTGTTCTGCCGGAGCTTCAAGGTTGCCAGTGAGCTGAGTCGCACTCTCTAAGATTTCTGGAAACTTTTCTTCATTTTCGGAAACCTTTTCTCTCTCCAGAGAATCAGTTCTTGGCCGAACTTCCAGATTGGTTGACAACTGTTTATCTCCCGCCGGTTTCTCTGCCAGCTCATCCTTTGGTTCTTCCTTAGGCTCATCTTCTCCTCTCAACAACTGATTTCCAAATGTTTGATTCAATTGGGGAATAGTTTCTTCCAGCTCCTCAATGCCTTTGAGCTCCCGTTTTTCAATAACTTTCTCGAAAATCTCTTCTGCGAGCTGTTTTTCAGTTTCTTCATCTTTTTCCATGTACCCCACTTCAGCACTTTCCGGTTTCTGCAACTCCTCTTCGAAGTTCTGATTTTTCTCACAATTATCTTCTAAATATTGCACTGCTTCGCTGCTTTCATCACAAGTATTTGGTTTCCCATCATCAGTTCGTTTAAGAGGCTTCTTGTCGACATCAGGATTACTTTCTGTTAAGTCTTGCAACTTTCCTTGATCGGATGCCTCTTCTATATGTTCCTGACTTTGGCAATCTTTCTGCTCCTCCTCCTGCGGCTTCTCGCTGGGCTGTTCCATTGCACACTACGCCAACGCCGCGAGTAAGTCGTTTATATAGAGGAACCCAAGCCAACCGCACTGACCGCAAGTCGAACGATGCAGTTACTCGAGTTTCATCCTCCCATCTTGCTCTGATTGCAGCAATCGCTGGCCGCACGGACACCACACGTCTTCCGCCAGGTGCTGAGCACCTCGACGGCCATCAAGTCTCGCGCCGCCAATCGGACGATTCCGGCCACGCCGCTCGACGGCGAGCTCCGTCGCTCACGCTCCGAACTTGACATGACGACCAAAGCCAAGAAAAGGTGAGTAACACTGGACGCGACGCAAATTTGCCGGGAAAGATGATATATGTATCACCTTATAGGGCTCGCAAGCTGTTGGAGCAGGAGGAGACCACGTTAGAGACCTCGAGCGTTCGCATCGTGGACATCGATCAGGGCAGGGATCTAATGACTCCACTAAAGGTTGAGCCCAGACAACCCAGCAACCTGCACTCCACCGCAATGGCCATGTTCGAAGAGACCGAGTCTGAGGAGCCGTCCAGAGTGCAGCAACCAATGAATCCCAGCACGGCACGCTACCAGCTCTTCAACACGATCATCAGCCCCATTCGCCTGCGACCATCAGGCAGTCAGCGAGAAGTTAGCCGGAAGCAGCCAACGAAGAAGAGAACATTGCCATTGCTACTGCAAGAATCCCTCCGTCGCTCCGAGCGACTAGCGAATCGGCTGAGGTTGCAGAGGGAACCTGTCACTGCCGTTGAGGTAAAAACAGAGACGGTCACCCAACTGCCGCTAGTTGATGATGGACCGCACAATAATGAAAGGATGGATGAAAATCGTGTACGAATGTTTCTGGACCAGCTTAACAGAAACGTTACGGAACTGAAAAAGATTCCAGGGATCGGTCCAAAGACAGCCACTAGTTTGGTCATATACAGGTTAGTGGCATTCTTTTGTTTGAATACGTTTGTTTGAGTTTTACCAATTACCACATACCCCAATTCCCAGATCCGACCTAGGTGGCTTTCATAATCTTGGAGAAGTCAAGTCGCTGCCCCTTTGGCGCGGAAATCAATGGAAAAAGATTTGCGATCTGAACCATCTCCTAACTTGATTAGTACTTACCATTTTAAACATAAATTAACTTTGATTTTACAAATTTTTGACTATAGTAGAATAAGAAAGGAGCTGGATATCCTAATATAATTATTTTGATGTTTAGGTGTAATATTTCTCAAAATGTTTATTTGTCGTTTTCGACATTTATTTATTTGTTGATAGGTGCATTTCTTATTAAATAAGAGCTTTGTAAACCAATATATTTAAAACAAATTCATGTGATCGATTGTGTATGTATTTATGTATTAACTATGTGTTTATGTTGTTTTTAATTTGTAAGTCAATAAACAAAGTGTACGAGTCAGAAAGCAAACCGTTTTTTACTGCGCTACGTCCAAATTAATTTTTTATTTCTTTTTTCGGCATTCTTCGTATATATCGTTTATACAATATATATATATATATGCATATACATTGATTATTGTAGTTATTTCATTTGGGTTGGTGAGCTATTTTAATAGGCTTACGATAAGGCACATATTTTAGACAAAATAATTAAATAAACAAACCAAATTAACCCAAAAAAAAGTAATCTAACAAGAACTTTAAAATAGTTGACTTATTAGTAGTGACAAATGATACATACCCATTAACAAATTAAATAATATTCATTCATTTATTTTAAATATAACCGCCTTTCAGAGTTGCCATACTGGCTTGCACGCACTAGTTGGTTTTTTTTAGTGACAACTCATCGTTGGCCGAGGGCAATTGTGCTCTTTCAGCAGCTGGTCACACTGCGCAGTCGCGTAGTTTGGTTTTTTTTGGGCGAGAAGACGGTTGGTGTTTGTTTTTTTTTAGTTCGCTCCGCTGTTTTTAGGTGGTACGTTTTATGGCCCGTTCTTAATCTTATCGCAAATCAAGCCGCGGCCGATGAGCTTTGTAATTGCACTCTTTGGCTAACGGTAACGGTATTTCACAGTGGGCCAATATTTGCGATTTGGGGGATTAGCACCAAAATCCACACTCCAAATTCAAATTGAATCAAATCGCATCGAATCGAATCGAAATCCAAAACAAGTGTGGCCAAAAAATGCCCGTGAAAACAGTGAATCGCCAGCAGAGCCAAACGCCCGCCCAACAACTGCAATTGCAGCACCAGCGGGACGTCGAGAATGGCCTCTATCCCACGATTCCGTCCGAGCGTCGATCGCCCCCCTCGCGTCCACAAACCCTGAGACAGGACACCATCGATATGGAGGAAATACCGCTCAACCAGACCAACAGCCAGGAGCCCGAGGATCGGCGCAAAATGCACGAGATATTCGACAAGGTATTCGCAAATGCTTTAGTTTTCCCATCAAAAGTTCGATCTCATCATGTGTTTGTCGGGCCACGTAGTATCCATGGTAGCTAGGAAGCTAAAAAACGTCGTATTACTATGTTTAAAGTTGGATACAACTACAAAAGGTATCCACAAAGTAAAGCGAAAATGATTCAATCTCTCGAAACTGCATTTACGGTAGAGCTATAGTTATACCACATTACTAGCGACTGGATAGTGTTTGATTTGTATGTTGATGCAGGAAAAGAACATTATAATGTGAGCGAAATATTAATTTTTAGGCGTTTTTACAGTTAGGTACTCAAGTTATATTGGAGAGCATAGTGGTTAATCCATTAGAACCAGCTAATTGTTCAAGCTAAGCAAATGGGCAATGCTGAGTTCTTGTGAAATTGCCCCAGCGAGTGGGGCTCAAATAATAATGGCTCACATTAATGGGGAATTTGAGAAAAACAGAAGAGCAACTGTAATTAAAACACTCAGTCAGCCGGCACCTGAAAGGCACTCACACACGTGCATTCGCACACTCACACAAGTGCGTGTGAATGGAGTTGCTTGTTTATAGTTGCTGCCCTGTTGCCATCTTCTTCTCGCCCTTGGTGAAAGTTGAGCTTGATGAATCATCTGTGTATCGATCTTCGCTCCTCGCACTCCCACAAGACGCACCCCGCCGTTAACCCTTCAATGGGCGGGCGGCGAAATGTGACACAATCAGATGCTTTTGTTTGCAAACATGTCGAGTAATGGCAAACTTAAGGTCAAGCGGTGAAGCATGTACATATATATGTATGTACATGCTTTTTTAAAACACCCATGTTTCGTTACGCTGAAAGTGAAAACCATATATGTAATTAAATGAAACAATGCATATACTATGGTTGATTAAAAGGAACGTGATCATATTTTTGAGCTAATTTGTTTCGCTGCAGCTTGTTTTCTTAACATTGAAAAGTCGTGTGTGGTGCAAAAAAGGGGGAGGGAGTGTGAGTGCTCTTATCGTGACGGAGGATGAAACGTCGAATAAAAAAAAAGAGGCTAAAAAAAACCGGTTATAAATTATTGTTTGCTCACTTTGAGTTCTGTCTATGTTGTTGTCGCTGTATTCTTTGGTGGCGTTAGTCACTTAACCCCCAACTGGCCCACCGTCCCCCGTTGACACCCACCGCGCACCTTTTTGCCCGAGTTTTACCATTATCAATTCCACAATTTGTGCATTTCTGTTTCTGATTCCCGACACTGCGAATCCCTCAATGTGCACATACTCCGCTTGATTCACCATTTGCTTATAGCTATATAGCGTTAAGCGTTTATAACGCATTCAATGGCCCCCGGCAACCCGCCTCAATTCCAGTTTAGTTAGCTCTCTCCTGCTTGATTTAGCATATATATAGAAATGCTGACCATTCGATTAGCATTCAAGATGAGCTGCCCATCGAATCCAATCCCATTCGAAGCCACTTGGAAATCGGCTTTCCACACACATTCCACCTCTCTTGGTTGGCAATCTTATCTAAATTCACTTGCTCCAAACATTCAAGTGGAAAACAGGAGGGCAAAAATATTCTGTTTGGGTTCCTCGAGCGTTTATTCAATAATCTAGCCATGATATAAGAACCAAAATAATGTACAAATCAATTAAAAGCAACCATATAGAATATTTTCTCACAAAAATTACTACTTACCTCTTAAAATCAATTACTACTTCGAAAATAGTTGAACGGGTCTTGAACTTGGACTGTATCATTTTGATATTTTTGAAATATCATGTTTGATATGTCACAGATAACAGCCCTTCTGATATGGGAAAATACCAGATAGATGACCATTTTCGTTCATATTGTTTTCATTGAGCTGTCCAAAAGTAAATCTTAAGTTGTCTGTTAGTTTATATAGGAAAGTTTTTGGACATACGTACATGCACATCTATCTAATCCTTTGTGTTCTCTTTTTGCCTAAATGTAACTTTTAAGCATTGACATTTCGTCGCGTTTCTTTTTTTTTTTATCAGTGCGCGGAGCGGAGCTTATCTATGACTAATATTTTTATGATTGAGAATCGGGAAATAAAAACGCAGCACGATAAGAAAGAAATATAGTAGGGACTTCATAAAAATAACTTCCTATTACCGAAATCTCATTAAAGGCACTTCGTAAGGAAAAGATTGTATAAAACAAATGGTTTTATATAGCAATTGCAAAAATGAGTAGCGATTTGAGAACTTAAACTTTGGAGACGTACATATGTGCAACTTCAAGTGACTTTCGATTTGTTTTTGATTAGCCCCGTTTTGGATTTCTAGTTTCTCGTCTCGATCAGTGGCATTCATTCCTGGCCATTTATGGCCACTTTTTGGCCCGAATGCAATAGCTGGTGTGTTGCAAGTGCTGGTGACGCAACCGAAAGGGGAGGAAATCAGTCAACAAACACAACCAATTTGTGGGAACTTGTATAATTTTGAACTCATGCCTCAGGTTGAGAGTTAACGATATGATTTGGAATAGTTCCTCGGCTGGATTGGGTTATTCAGAGTCTGAGGGGAGGTCAAAGAAAGTGGACTTCTGGCTCTTTGGGGCAAGGCGGCTGGAGCAGCCCTGCGCCAGCTCCTCCTCCTCCTCATCCACATCCACAGCATCGTGCCAAGCCTGGGAATCCAGCAGCTCCGGCTCCTTCTGCTGGAGCAAACGCATCCGCAATCGCTGCTTTTGCAGTAGAACGGCAGGCTGCCTTGGTGCAGCCACATCGCGAGTCAGCGATGGCAGGGCCGTCGGCGTAGTCAAGTCCGTTGTCCTGCCCCGCCGCTGCAGACGCTGCAACTGCTGGCGCTCCATGGCCACCAGTTGCCGTTTGGGCCGGGCCCGGGCCCGCACCTGGTCGTCGGTGGTTGTGGTGCAGAGATTCAGGGCCGCAAAAAGGGCGGCCATGCCCAGGTAGAGCACCAGTACGGTGACAATGCCGGACGACTCCTGCGGCGGCTCCTCCTCTTCCTCGACCTCGCTTGGGGGCGTCGGTGTCCAGCCCAGCCAGGAGGTCACGTGACGGGTCATCTGCAACAGTTGCGGCATCGTTCTCGGCTGAATCCTGAGGCGAAAATAAATATATACGAGTATGTATATATACAAGTATATCTAATATTTCATTAGACGATTTCGCCATTTTTATATCAAACTATAGTTCCTTAACTTCCTTCTAGAGAAATGTATTAAATTTGATCCAATGATTCTTAAGAAAACTCCTGAGTAGCTTGTGAGGTAAACAAATAGTTACTTCAATTGATGCATTCAATGGAAACCCATGAAAACGTTTCCGTGGTAAACAAGATATGCTACAAAGGCTTTGATATCACAACTTGTTCTAGATAATAATATGTTTACAACTTGTATCACGCAAAATTTCAAGAGTTCTAAGAATGATTAAGAAGATGAACGTTGTGTAGGCTTTACGAATTAATTATCAGGTACAACGATTTCGGTAATTTAGAAGACGGAAAAACTGAAGAAGCACAACATTGCCTAGTTTTTTAGGGGATCCTCTTTGTAGGGAAGCTGATATTTACCCAATTTTATTGGTTGCAAGGGTATTCCTTAATCGGTGTTTCCACGGTGTTGAATTTGTCTGGAGTCTGTTCGGGTCTGTCTGCCCACCCGGAATTTCTGCTACGAACTAATATCGTATGCCCTTTTTTTCAAAGTAACCATGACGCTTTAGTATATGGCCTACTGGATTTTAAAGTTGATTTCCCATTACAAAAAATTAAACTAGATGAAACAACTTAGAGACTTCACAAGCCGAAGACCTTACTGTTTAATAATCGAAATGGCGTTTTCCAAGTTTCAATGTGAGATTACCCAAATTGACCGATTATATTCCTCTCACACAGCACGACTCCGACAGGGACGGACTGATCAACACGCACGAGCTAAAGGAACTGATCTCTGATGGCTATTGCCGGGACATTCCGGCCTACATCGCCGACCAGATCCTGAAGCGCAGCGACCAGGACAACGATGGCCACCTGGACTTCGATGAATTCTATGCGATGTCCCTGCACCACAAGTGGATGTTGCGGAACATGCTCACCCGCTACTGTCGCTACGTGGTGCCGCCTCCGAAGCCCTTGGAAGGCGATGAACCCGACGGCGCCTACGAGAAGCAAATGTCCATCTGCCCGCCGCCGCTCACCATGGTGCTCTTCTCGATCATCGAGATCATCATGTTCCTCGTGGACGTCATTCATTTCCAGTAAGAAGCGATGGTTTATTCGTAGAATATGAATCATAATATCAATCATAATCTAACTCTTCTCTGTCTCGTTTCGTTTAGGGACGATCCCAATTACCAGGATCGCATAGGCGAGAGCACAAGTGGACCGGCGGCCACCCTGTTCATTTACAATCCGTACAAGCGCTATGAGGGATGGCGCTTTGTGAGCTACATGTTCGTCCACGTGGGCATCATGCATCTGATGATGAATCTGATTATCCAGATATTTCTGGGCATCGCCCTGGAACTGGTGCATCACTGGTGGCGCGTGGGTCTCGTCTACCTGGCTGGCGTGTTAGCTGGTTCCATGGGCACATCACTGACCAGTCCTCGCATCTTTCTGGCGGGCGCATCGGGTGGAGTATACGCACTAATCACAGCGCACATTGCCACGATTATTATGGTAAGTGGGTGTCAGATTTGTATGTTTTCAAATTCGATCATTACCTTCTGTTCGCCAACAGAACTACTCGGAAATGGAGTACGCCATTGTCCAGCTGCTGGCCTTCCTCGTCTTCTGCTTCACCGACCTGGGTACCTCGGTGTACCGCCACTTGACCGACCAGCACGACCAGATTGGCTATGTGGCGCATTTGTCCGGTGCCGTGGCCGGTTTGCTGGTGGGGATCGGGGTGCTGAGAAACTTGGAGGTGCGGCGCTGGGAGCGCATTCTCTGGTGGGTGGCCGTCATCGTTTACTTTGCCCTCATGACCACTGGCATCATCATTCACGTGTTTGTGCCCGACTACTTCCCGAAACAGGAGTACAACTAGCCCTAGAACTTAGCCCTAGCCCTTGCCTAGACCACGTCCAAAGTGCACTTCGATATTGAGCCGAGGTTGCAGTACGCACAGTACTAACTATAGGTTTTATCCAAATCCGAGCATGTGCCTATGCCAGCTGCAAACATAATTTATTTTCTTACACCTTGCCATGTCAGCTCCATCCCATCCGTACGTAGTACACGCACGATGTACGTATTTTGAGATGTATTTTTATATATTTATATGTATTCTCGATCCACATGACGCGACGCAACAAAATGTCAACGAAGAACAAAACTCAGCTGCATTTGTATTATACATTTCGTCAATTTTTTTCACAAAGCAAGAATAACGAGAAATATAATTTAAACAAAGTGTACTGTATATTTTTGGAGATTTATTATTAAGATCTTATATTTAAATGCAATAAAAACAATGTCTTTGTACGGTGAAGATGGGTGTTTTGCGTATGTACTTTATTTTTTAATTGTGTCATTCATTTTTAAATGTAATGAGTACAACTTCATATTCTAGACCAACGGCACTTACACTAAGTACTTAAAAATATAGTTGAATTTAAAATTCAGTTCCCAAAAATTACGTTTAAATCAATTTAGTCAAGAAAATATATATGTATGCCCACTCCAGCAATTAACCCTTTTTATTGTGTTTACATGTCTTTTTGTTTTTAATGTTCATTACATACCGTCAATTTGAAAGTTAACGAAAACGCAGCGTCGCTTGCTGCGTCGGCCGGTTGTGAGAAAGAAACGCCCTGAACATTGTTTTGTGATATTGTTGAGTATGTTAAAGTGTTTGTGTTCGGGTGATGCTTCTCGAAGACTCAGTCTTGGCATTCTCTGGTACTAGGAGGGTTTACTTATGGCTATCTTATGGCACTTAGGCGCATAACTGGTGCGTTGAACGTTCTTATATGCTGATCTCCTTTGGACGGGAACGGGGACGGGGCACGAACTTGATGCAGGTGGCGTCGATCATGCTCACCTTGGTCAACGTAAGCCAACAATTCGGTGCCACATCGCGCAGAATCGCCAGCAGGCGCTTGGCGGGCAGAAAGGCCACGCACTCCGAGTGGTCTGTTTCCATGCAATGGTCGTCGGGAGAACAAAAATTAAGGTCGTCGTGCGGCGGAACTCCCGGAACAGGACGCTGCACGGGAATGACATCCTTCCCACTACCCTTGTACAGCGCCCCAGTTGCACTCAACAACTGGGTAACCAATCCCAGGCGGAACACGCTCAACTGCGCGGCATTGTCGTAAATGGCCTGCATCACGGCATGGATCATGTTGGCCGAATGATGAATACACATTGGGGTCAACAGCAGATCGGTGACACTGGGGCACATGGCAATCAAATTGGTAAGACGGTCATCCACATCCACATTTACCAGCTCCACACGCTTCAACCTACCGGCAAGGGATATACCAAGCATAATGTCGTGCAACGGAAACTTGCCATCGATCTCGTGCTCGTTCTCCAAGCGAATCGACTGTAAAGTCTTTAAAAAGGGCAGCACATTCTGGCCAAATTTCTCAGTGTTCATGCCCTGGCATGAACCCAACACTAGCACCTTCAGACACTTAAGTTTCGTCAAGAACATGAAGTCCGAGGCGCCTAGAAAATCCACACCACGTATACTCAACTCGGTTAGATACGTCAGGTTGCCCAGAGAGTCGATTGATGCCAAACTGTTTCTGCTGCTCGTCAAGTAGATGTCAAGCACGCGCAGCTCAGCTGGGTGAAGTCCAAGATGGTATAGATTCAAACTTGGACTGGTGCAGATCGTCCTTAGCTCCAGCAGTTGGGACAAATGGCGAAATACCAGAATAAGAAACTCGGCACCTACGTGACCAGTGTGTAGAACGCGCAACGCTCTCAGGATGCGCATATCGCCAGTAGTGAGAATCTGGGGCTTCGTCAATATTGCGCCCGACATGTACAGCTCGCGAGTGCGATGGCGTGCGAGTTGACGCATACAGTACTCCCAGTTCCTAACAGGGGTGTCGCGAAGATTGACTGTACGCCATACACTCCTATCCCGACTGACCATGGCCCAAGTTGTGCAAACCCGCGCCATGTTTGCCCGTTCCTGGATGGGGTAACAAAATGAAATATTCACGTTAAACATGTGCCTTTATGTTTTGCTATAAGCTGTAAACTTTACCTTCTGGTTCAGTGTTTTCATAACGGCCATCAGTATCTTACATCCGTTTAGGGCAACGCCCAGGCTCGCCACCAAGTCGGTGCTCGAATTCTTATTTAAGGTCCTTTCAGAGCCAGTCAAACAAGGCTGGCGTGGTTCCCTGTCGATTTGGGGAAATGCATAAAAAACGAGCAATTAGCTGTGGGTTTCATAGGCGCCTTGGTGTTGGATTTGGAACTAAACCGACTCACACTTTCACTTGGCGATGAGGCAAATCGGCATTGATGGCTATAGCCTTCCGTCCTCCAATCACAACAATTTCCTGCTTCTTTGGAGCTGGCCTCTGACCCAGGTTTGCCGGCGGATGTTGACCGGGCATTGCAATTTTCTCGCCGACCTCCATCTGGCTGCTGCCACTCATCATCGTTATATCATCATCGTTATTCTGATCCCCATGTGGTTGCACCTGCTTTTTCGCCAATTCCTTTTCAGCCGCTTTTATATCAAAGATACACCTCTGCAAAAGTATTATTATAAGAGTTTAAAGTGCTTGTAGCCTTTTGAGAATTACCTTGCACATATTAGGCGTGGCCCCACTCGGAATAATAGGATCCTGACAGCGCACACAGGTCTTGGTCTTCCAAGGATATTCCGTTGTGTGAGCTCTGGACATGAAGCAACAGATATATATTGAGAAGTCTAATATTTACAATATATTGTATTTACCTGCGCTTGCGAGGGGAGCTATTAACAATCGGCGAACCACCCGAACTGCTGCTGGCACTGCCCGATGCCTGCGCCCGAGATTTCCTCTTAACAGCCATGGTGGGGGTCCAGCCCTCGCTCGGTGGACTTGCCCCTTTGGGCACGTTAGGCTTCGACACTCGCTTCTCAGTGATCGTCAAGGGAGACGGCTGGGTCTGCTTGGGCGGCATGGTCTGCTTGGGTGGCAGGGTCTGTTGGGGCGGCAGTGTCTGTTGGGGCGGCAGGGTCTGCTGGGGCGGTTGAGGCTTTGTGGCTTGACCCACTTCCTTCAATTCCGGACCTGCCTTCTGTGCGACGTGCTCGTTGGGCGCAATAAAGAACCCGTCACCGGTGCGACGCCTTGGATTCACAGAGCTGGGTATAAAAACATCCAGCTCGTTGTCGGATTTTTGCTTTAGGACTGTGCTACTGATGGGTTGTCTCTCCGCTTTTTTCTTCCCATCGTCCAGCGGCTCATGGCTGCTGAAGCGAACTGTACGACGCGCCTCCTCCGGGCCCGAATTGCCGGTAGTGAATGATATGGAACGTTTTTCGAGGCGACCGGACATGGCGTCCTTGGCTTCCTTAGGTTGATTGTCCAGGGGAACCGCCTCCTTTTTGGCATCCCCTTCTGTAGCCATCTGTGTGTTCGCTTTGGAAGCGCTAAGTTCGCCGAAACCTGGATTCGGCGGCGGCGATGGTACCAATGATGCATTTGAATTGCTCTTATCCTCGGTCAGCACCTGTTCCCCAGCCCTGGCATGCTGTTGCTTGTCCGGCTGCTGGTTAGCCTTTTCCTTTGCCAGCTTTATAACTTCATCCTAAAGCGTGACACAAGCGGGAGAGAAGGTTAATGGTTAGTAAGTTTGTGATATTCCCCGAGTTTTTAGATTTTTATAAGGGTTTCAACCTGATTGTCTAAAACAGTTTGCTGCACTTTGAATGCTGTTCCACGTCCTGCTGCCATTGACACCGACATATTCAGGTCAGAGTTGGAGGACAGCGAGGTGTCGAATGGCGATGCAAACGACTGCTGTTGCTGCTGCTTCTGTTGCTGCTGCTGATGCTTCTGTTGTTGCTGCTGCTTCTGTTGTTTCTGCTGCTTCTGTTGTTGCTGCTGCTTCTGTTGCTGCTGCTTCTGTTGCTGCTGCATCTGTTGTTGCTGCTGCTTCGGTTGCTGCTGCTGCTTCGGTTGCTGCTGCTGCTTCTGTTGTTGCTGCTGCTGCTTCTGTTGTTGCTGCTGGTTCGGTTGCTGCTGCTGGTTCGGTTGCTGCTGCTGCTTCTGTGGTTCCTGCTGCTTCTGTTGTTGCTGCTGCTTCTGTTGCTGCTGCTGCTCCTTAGACTTATTAGTGATTTGAGCTGGCTTTGTTGAACCTGCTGCTGTCTCCTCTTGCGGTTCCACTCTTGGAAAAACCTTTAGACCACTCCATGGCAGTACACGCGGCTTGGCCGTCGACTATTGTCATCGTGTTGTCGGGTTGTGTATTGATTGGTTGAGATTTAAGATAGGCACAGATACGATTACGTGTTGAGACATACATTATTACAGAACAAAAAAAATGCTGTCCGTACTCTACAGCACACACAATAAAGAACGAGCATAGCCCTCTGTATACCAGTTACCAAGATTGATTTAAATAAACATAGGGCACTAGCCATATCTCATAACCGTACGCTCTTCGGATAAACGAGTTATGGAAAGTTGTGGTTACGATAAATACTACAGGACAGGCTGTTACTCGACCTTTACGCAAGATTATTTACAACATTCCAAAATAAATTAATATTTAAATTACTTTCATTGTACGTTAATAAATCACTAGGGCCCATTTAAAGTGAACATAAAGTAATAATTTTTCCATACGAATTGGAAGGCAAGTGTGCAGTCCATATTGGGTTAATAAATTACTTAGGAACAAAAAAAAATTAATGTGCGTTATGTGTATTTGTGTATTAATACCGACCGAAAGGGATATTTAAATAGCCGGTGTGTGGATTGAACGTGAGTATACAGAGGGAAGTTCCATAAGCTTGAACAGACAGCAGCAGGCCAGCTCCTCTCCTGGACATCTCCGCCATCCCAGCTACTCACCAGCGGCTCCACATTTGAGTTACTATCGATGTTGGACATGGGCGTTAGCTCTGGCAAGTTTCCATTCCATCCCTTGACACCCAAGTCTCCCGATACACGGCGGTCACGATTACGGCGATTACGGCGTCTGCGGCGTTCATTTAGACTATTCCTCTTGAATAGCTGGCAGGATGTACCTATGTTGGTTAAGATGGGATGTGTTAGATTATGCTACAACTACTGGTTCATGTTGGTTTTTGTTTGTGCTGCTTACTTTTAGCGCATGTATTATTTGGCTGATCAGAGTGGGTAGCTTCGAAGAAATGGCCATTCCCGGCAGTCGAATTAGTGCCATCGCTGAGATTCACGGATGAGGAATTATCGTTGACCATCGTTGATGTTCCGGATACGGAACCAAGGCCACCATTGCCGTTAGTCTGCGCCAATGACTTGGCATTGCTGTTAAAGGGCTTCTTGTCACGCGGCTTTGATGGCCCAGGATTGTCATTGTGCGAGCTCATGTCGCTCTGTAATGGATGTGCAATAAATCAAGGCTATGCTTCAGGCTATATGTTGTACATATCAATGGAATTTCGCTGTCAAAAATATTGACCTTGAAACTTTCTGTTGAAGACCAGAGTTGCCACATTTCTAAGTTACGCCATTTTAATGTCAAGTCGGGGTTTCCGTTCTAACTAATGACAAATCACTAAATTTAAAAAGTGTGCGATGGTTACTAAAAATTAAGCTAGAAACTAAGTCTGATCACCAGAGTGGTCACCTTAACCCTTTTTTAATAATTTACATCGAGCGAATTCGGAATAGTACTTTCTCCTTATAAACCCCTAAATTTGGCTGTCAAAAATATTGACTTGGAAATTTTGCGCTGAAAACCAGAGTTGTCACTTTTAAAAGTCGCGAATTTTAGAGCATTTTTTGAAAGAAAAACTAAAGTTGTCCGGCTTGTTTCTATGAAATAAATCTACACAGAATGTGAAATTCGTCGAACTAGCCCTTTTTAATACTTTTCACCACGTGAATTCTGAATACGAATATTAACTAACTTAAAATAGTTGCACGTAAGGAGCTACCACTGTATTTTATGCTCATGTCAAAAAATACGCAAGCATTTACGCATTTGTGAGTGTTTGTGTGCCGGCCTAAACAAATTTCGACAAAAGCGTGCAGGTAAATCTGCACACAAACACACACGCACATCCATACACACATATATATGCAGCGTGCGCGGCTTGTTCGCGGTTTGTTTTTGTTACGTTTCTGCTTTGTTCGCTCCCCGCTCAGTTCGCTAAAATTGTTAATCGAGAAGACACCTGCACGCATACACACGCAAAAACTCAATAGCTGTTTCTTGCACTTTCGCCGGCAGATGCACAAATTGCACAGTTTTTCTCGTTTAAATCGAATTCACTAGCACTCTTTCGGACCTTTTCACTTTGTCGTTGTGTTTATCAGTTTGTGTTTTGCCGCATCTTCGGCGTATCGCGAGCTTGTGCTGCAAGTGTGTGTGCGCGCGGCGGTTGTGTGTGAGCGAAGCTATTGAAATCTGCAGCGGATTATTCACTTAACCGGGCCGAAATCGTGTCGAACTCAACAATTTTGTTTCAATCGTTTAACTTACCTTCGTAAAAGAAAAGAAAATTTCACTTGAAAATATTACTGAACACGGCAAATTCTCTCGGAAAAGTGCACGCACGAAAAATGAACGCGCAATCGTACTTAATTTATCGACTTTCACACACACAGTAATGCGTTTTGATGGAAAATCTCGAAAATGATTGTTCGATACTATCGAATGATTTTTGGAATTTTTATTTACAAATTTAAATACCAAAAACTAGCAAGCGATATGTTTAAAAACTTACCGAATTGTGTCCTGGACTAATACCACAGATTCAGTTCAAGCAAATATATCAAAATATTATATTTTTCTCTTGCTTTATTATTTCTACTCCTAACAGATTACGAAATTGTCAATTCTGCCGACTCCTAACGATTTTTCTTCATTAAGTCATCGATAGTTCTACAAAAAAGTATCGCGAGCAATCATCCCTGGCGACACAACTGGTTGTACGTATGTATGTCGCGACTTTACATACTCACATATATAATATTGCCAGCTCTGCACGTGAAACGCGAAGGCTGCCGTGGTAATCTGTGATCAAATCAAGTGAGTTGAAGCGCTAAATGCGAAATCCATAAGCTATGCAATACCATCTATCCATCCCTATATGCTTTTAGACATGTCCAAGGCCAAGGGTAAGAAGAAAGAGCGTTTCGATGACGACGAGGAGCAGCTGGAGAAAGTGCAGGAGAAGAAGCCGCCGACGAACAAGAAGGGCGGTAAAAAGGGAAAGCGAGGAGGTGGTGGTGTCGAGTCCAGCGACGAGGATGTCACGCCAAAGAATCGGGACAACGAGGACCTGGAGAGCATAGCCTCCTCGAATCAGAGCAAGCAGCAGACGGCCAGCAAAAAGCAGGCCAAGAAGGGTAAGAAGGGCAAGAGGAATGACGACTGGAGCGACGAGGATGAGAAGCCAGCAAAAAGTCTGCCTGCCAACGACCTGGACGATGAAGATGACGACGAGAAGCCTCTGCCATCCAAGCCAGCTGCCAAAAAGCCGCAGTCCAGCAAGAAGAACAAGAAGAATAAGAAAAACGACAATTTCTCCGATGATGAGGAACCTGAGCTGGACTTGGACGAGCTAAGCAATGAGGACGAGGTGGAAGTTGTCGCTGCCAAGCCAGTCTCCAAGAAGTCCAAGAAGAAGCAGCAGGCTCAGCAGAAAAACAAGTTCGCCATGAGCGATGATGAAGAGGATGAGGTCGCCGAAGATCTGCCAAATGACAGTGAGGAAGAGGAGGAGCAGGTGTCCAACAAGGCGGCCAAAAAGTCGAAGAAGGAACGTCAGAAACAAAAACTACCATCCAGCGGAGACGAAGAAGAGCCCGAAAAGGAAGTGGAGGAGCAGAAAGTGGCGGAAGTCCTTAGCGAGAAAGTGGCTGCAGTGAGTCTCAAAGAAAAGACACCTGAACCTGTAGAAGTACCCGTACCCGAGCCCGAGCCCAAGGTCGAACCCGCACCCGAGTCTGCACCTCAACCCGAAGAGGAAGCCGAAACTGAGGCCGATCCCAAGTCCGAGGACAGCAAGGAAACCAAGGAGAAAAAACTCACCCACAAGGAGAAGAAGAAGCAAAAGAAGCAGCAGGAGTACGAACGTCAAATGGAGCTGATGACGAAAAAGGGTGGTGCCGGGCACTCGGACTTGGACAACAATTTCACCATGTCCCAAGTGCAGAAAAGCGCAGGTCAAAAGGCGGCTCTGGAGCAAGCCGTGGACATCAAGATCGAGAATTTTACCATCTCCGCCAAGGGTGAGTCATACCCATAACTTGCCTTTGTGTGTATTATCAATAATACCTCCCTTTTATAGGTAACGATTTATTTGTGAACGCCAACCTATTGATTGCTCATGGACGCCGTTATGGTTTGGTGGGTCCCAACGGGCACGGCAAGACCACCCTGCTCCGGCATATTGCCACCCGTGCCTTTGCCATACCGCCCAATATTGATGTGCTGCTGTGCGAACAGGAAGTCGTAGCTACCGACAAAACGGCCATCGATACAATCCTGGAAGCGGATGTGCGACGCACACAGATGCTAAAGAAGGCCGATGAGTTGGAGAAACAGTTTGTCGGTGGCGATTTAACTGTGCAGGAGGAGCTAAACGATACCTTCGCAGAACTGAAAGCAATTGGAGCGTACTCGGCGGAAGCCAGAGCACGAAGAATCCTTGCCGGTTTGGGTTTCAGCAAAGAAATGCAGGATAGGCCCACCAACAAATTCTCTGGTGGCTGGCGCATGAGAGTGTCCCTAGCAAGAGCTCTCTATCTGGAGCCCACTCTGCTTATGCTCGACGAACCGACCAATCACTTGGATCTTAATGCTGTCATTTGGCTGGACAATTATCTGCAGGGCTGGAAGAAAACCCTGTTGATCGTGTCTCACGACCAGAGCTTCTTGGACAATGTCTGCAACGAGATCATTCATTTGGATCAGAAGAAACTGCAATACTACAAGGGCAACTATTCCATGTTCAAAAAGATGTATGTGCAGAAGCGCCGCGAGATGATCAAGGAGTACGAGAAGCAGGAGAAGCGCCTGCGAGAACTGAAGGCCCACGGTCAGTCGAAAAAGGCAGCGGAAAAGAAGCAAAAGGAATCGCTCACACGCAAGCAGGAAAAGAACAAGTCCAAGCAGCAGAAACTGGACGATGATGACGGCCCGCAGGAGCTGCTGGCCAGGCCCAAAGAATATATCGTCAAGTTCCGCTTCCCAGAGCCATCGCAGCTCCAGCCACCGATTCTAGGTATCCACAATGTCACCTTCGCCTTTCCGCCCCAGAAACCGTTGTTCATCAAGGTTGACTTTGGCATCGATCTAACTAGTCGAGTGGCCATCGTGGGACCCAATGGTGTGGGAAAATCAACCTTCCTCAAGCTGTTGCTCGGCGAACTGGAACCGCAGGAGGGTGAGCAGCGCAAGAATCACCGCCTCCACGTTGGCCGCTTCGATCAGCACTCTGGTGAACATCTCACAGCAGAGGAATCGGCTGCGGAGTACCTGGAGCGTCTGTTCAATTTGCCTCACGAAAAGGCACGCAAGGCATTGGGTTCCTTTGGTTTGGTCAGTCATGCCCACACCATCAAGATGAAGGATCTGTCCGGTGGTCAGAAAGCTCGTGTGGCCCTCGCTGAGCTTTGCTTGAGTGCGCCAGATGTACTCATTCTCGATGAGCCTACGAACAATTTGGACATCGAGAGTATCGACGCCTTGGCGGAGGCAATCAACGAGTACGAGGGTGGAGTGATCATCGTCTCCCACGACGAGCGTTTGATCCGTGAAACAGGTTGCACTCTCTACGTGATTGAGGATCAAACGATCAATGAGATTGTTGGAGAGTTTGACGACTACAGGAAAGAGGTTCTCGATTCGCTGGGCGAGGTGGTCAACAATCCTAGCGTGGTGGCCAATGCGGCTGTGCTGCAATAACCCTAAACTTGCATACGGACTTGGAGTCCATGACACAGGTCATCATCTCGTCAGCCGGCTCGCCCTGTTAATTGTTCAACTGTTGAATGGATTATCCGCTAGTTAGCCTTTTTATACCAACATATATACAATAACAAATTGTGAAGCGATCACAAGAGCGATAAAGAATATTTTGTTTATCTTAATCTTATAAGCGTTAAGGAATTATGGGCGGATATTGTTGTTTCTGAGAAGATATATCAATTGCGAAAATAGGGTTTGAAATAGGACATAAAATAGTCGGGTAAATGGTAAAACCCATTAAATTGCAATAGTGAAATATGCATGCTGTATTTTATATACATTTATAGTTTATTTCAGCTCTGACTTTGAGTGTTCTCCAGAAAAAGGAGAAAAATACATAATATTAATTCTTAGATATAATTGTGGATATCCTAGCCGCTGCGATAGAAGCCCTTGACATTGTTAATCAGGTGGCTTAATCCATTATATCCATCCTTATCGAAGTCGATGTTTTCGCCGCCAAACTCAATGACCTGTAAGTGAATAATGGGAGAAATGGGTGACTATTGAAAGGACTCTAAGAATTGAATGCACCCACCTCCTTGGCCCTGATGGTGTCTGCACCATGGGGCACTCCAATGACCTCCACCCAGGCTCCTTCGGCGGCGCCAAGCTCTCCCTGCAGATTGATCTTCAGCTTGTGGTTATCCGTGGAACTGGCCAGCAAAGTGGATCCCGCCACGCTCTCCACGCGAACCATTATGCTCACGGTTTGGCCGGAAAACTGCTTCAGCATACCGCCGTTGATAATTGAGCGTGGATCAAAGGTATCCATAATTATCCTTCAGTTTAATACGGTTTAACAAGCTTATTTTGCGAATTAGAGCAGAAAATAAAGTGCCGTAAACAAGAAAGAGCGCCAATACAGCTATCGAGCCCATCAATCGATAACATTATTGCATGACATCTGCTATCGATGGTATTCGAATTCCGTAGCAAAAATATTTAATGATTTATTGTGTTTATTGTAACATCAAATGTTATAACATTTGGACAGACAAAAACATTAAGACTGTGGATGTATGTATGATAATCAATAAAATCAATTCCTTTCGATTTAAACATTAATTTGACTTGCGATAACTGGCCACTACTATGTGTAATGCAGGTGTTTAGTGCACTTCGAGATATAACACTTGTAAAGAACATCAAAGTGTAATGTAAAATGTAAAAAAAAAATATGAATTCAAATGAATTGTGATTACAAAAATTATACCAAAGTCATCGAAAGCAAAGTGAAGATGCGAGATGCTACCAGATATGCTGTCCGGTGGAAACGTGCGAATTTCAGTACGTCAGCCAGTTACATCGATCTATCGATAGTTTTTAGACTGGCCAATGTTTATTGTTATAAAATAAATGTTAAAAATAAACAATTAATCACTTAATATAAACAAAAACTAGTGCAAGCAGTAGGTGCGTTGTAAAAACGACCTCCGCCCTTCGAATTTCCTTATTGCGGGCATAAAAAGCCC